TTCACTGAAAAGCATGCGTTCCCTGTGTCCTTTGACCTGGTTATGGATCCAGTGGCTCCCGTGAGATCACAGAGCCATACTGTGTCCCAAGGCTTCTGGCTGTTTCCAAAAGTCACAGTCCCATCAAAAAGAAAAGTCTGTCCCCCCACCCACCAAGCATGCTGCAAAGGGCTTAAGCACAGCCCCCCCCCCCCCCGGCCACTGGTGCTGAACTTGAACAGCAGACCTGACGCTCCCTGAAAGATTTAACATGCCCGAGTCTCAGCTTCTTCCACTGCAAAAGCAGAGGATCATTGCTCTTCCGTCATAGACAGTCGTGGGATGAACTAACAGAGACACACTGTGAAACCCCAGGACATAGTGTTTGTGAGTGGTGGTTATTAATATTTTACACGATCTAGGCACTGCAGATTCTTGTGGATTCTAAAACAGGGCCTGCAGAAACTACATTCAGACAAGGTAGGATGGAAAAGATCCCCTGTAGGACTGAGGGCTTGGCTTGGCTACGAAGGTGAAAGTGAATGGTTGCCCTGCAGGTAGGATGCAGGTGCTGGTAGTTCAGTAACTGCGGCAGGCGGGCGGTTTTCTCTTGACTTTTCATCTCCCTGTGCAGTGATGTCTTCTCCCTTTCCCCCAAGTTCTAGCCCTTCATACACAAGTACTTTTTGCCTAGTTACCCGAATGTTATTAACACCCGAATGCGAAATCGGACTCCCGGCACACAGCGCCCTATGCGCCACGATTGTTTTTGTTGCTGTTTTTTCCATTGCTTTGGATTTTTAGATTTATTCTCATTTTTATGTGTCTGAGTGTCTTGCTGTGTGTCTGTCTGTCCATCACATGCACACATTGCCCGTGGAAGCCAGAAAAAGGTGTGAGATCTCCTTTGGACTGGAAACACAGACAGTTGTAAGCCACCGTGTGGGGAATGGGAATTGAAGCTAAGTCCTCTGAAAGGGCAGTCAGTGCTGCTGACCACTGCAGATGGTGTAGGACAAGTGAAGAATAATGGAAAGGGGGATGATGCGGCAGAGTGTCTGTGAGTGACAAATGATGCCTCAGGTAAGGCTCTGTGAAGACGTGACAGTGGAGACCTGACCAAGAAAGGGGCAGCCCTACGGAGACTGAGGGCGGGGTGTTACAGACAGAGAGTATAAGACGTGCAAAGGCCTGGAGGCAGGCATGAACTCGGTGCCTTTGAGGAACCAAAAAGGCTTGGATGACTGAAGTTGGAGCACTGAGGGTTAAGAGATGACAGTGACAGCAAAGTCAGCAGGTTATTCAGGGTTTATTCGAGGCCTCAGGAAGGAGTTTGGCTTTTGTTCTAAATGCAGCAAGGGCCATTTGGACATTAAGCGGGAGAACAATGAGATCTACTCTGCCTTTTAAAAAGATTATTTTTAATCCAGCCACCCTCTGTCCGGACTCATGTGCATGCGCAAGTGCTCTATGGGTTCTCCTGAGAGCATTCCCCATGCGGCCAGTTACCTGCCTGTCGGCCTGCACCCCGCCTTGTGCAATCTGTTGCTGGATCTCCACAGTGCTTACAGAGCTCAGCCTTCCCTCTGTAGAGCCAACACCCTGATGTCGGCCCTTGAATAAGGGGTCACTTGAGTCATCTCTCCTGCTCAAGAACATTCAATAACTCTCCAGCATCCAGGTAGTCAAACTGCAGTTCTCTAACCCTCCACTGAGAAGCCCCCCAAATCAGTTTGTCAACTTTTCTCTACACTCGCCTACACGCGTCCTGTAGCAACATGGCCTTCTTGAGCACGGCTTGTCTGTACTCGTGCAGTTTTCTGGTTCGGCACTGACACTTTCCCCAGTTACATCTGCTGGCACCCTGTGCTGTGCATTCCCCGAGTCCAGTGATACCATCTCTCCTGGATGCTTTCTCTGCTCTAGCTGATCTTATGTAAACGTCCCACAGGATTTTACCTGAACCTACTTAAAGCATTTACTGCATTCTTCCTTGTGTTGTAGTTGTCTGTGTGCAGTCTTACTCCCCTCCTAAATCAGTTTCTTGAAGACGGGGACAGAATCATAGTCACTCTTTCTGTCTGTTAGTACCTAGCAGAGCGTGACGTGCAGGAGATGCTTGGTAAACATTAGCTGAATGAACCGGTGAACGAACAGGTCCTAAGATTCATCTTTGGGTCCCTTGGCTCAATTTGATGATTGTAGAAAGTTGTGAATAATCATAAGAGGGGATGAGAAGGGGTAATCTTTTAATCTTTACAATGGTGCTTTTTGAGCTCCAGGGAAACAAAAACAAGCATGGAAATAATTCTCCATTGTTTTTCATGGAGTGGATGTCAGAAAAGGCCACTTGGGAGTTGCAGAGAATTGTATACTGTGTCCACAGTGCCCTAGGACACAGGTTTGGTGACTGGCTAGTCCTTCAATCCTAATTTGGTGGGTTTATGGGAACTCATGTAAAACCATTTCCCTCAGCAATTAATTTTGAGTTGAGCAGATCTTTTTCAAGAGAGAGAGAGAGAGAGAGAGAGAGAGAGAGAGAGAGAGAGAGAGGTTTCAGTTAATTCCTTGATTCTTCTGCCTCGTATTAGCATTCCTGGAAGCCTGAGTTAGTGTGGTGGGGTTCACCTCAATCAATGGAGCTGCAGGGTCCATTAATCTTCAGTGACTTTGCTTTGGAAAAAAGGTGCTGATGAACTTCACATTGCAAAGACTTCTCTTTACGAAGAAGATGGGTTGGGCATCTCCTCTGGAAGTGTTAAGGCTGGCTTTCCTCCTTTACCATCCCTTGCTTTATGCAAAGACCTGGACTCCTTTTATGAACAAGACAGGAACTATATATCCCTGTTACTATTGAAATCACACATACTTCTAGTACATTGTTTAGTTGCAAGCCATCTGTTATTAATGATGTCGGAGCACCATAAAGATCCAATGAAGAGTTCCTTGTTGTTTCCCCTTTTTAATAGCTTAAAATATCCAGTCCAGAAGACGAAGATCATCCGTGACAGTTCCTTCAGTGAGAAAGAAACCTGGCAGTTGCTGCTTCCTGGTGTGAGATGGCTCCCACCTATGCCACACCTCTCCAGCCTAGCAACAAGCTTGTTTAAATAGATGGTGTCTGTGTTTGTGTGCTTAAATTCACTTTCCCTTCTCTAATTTCACACTGGTGACTTATTCTGAAATTTGCAGTTCAACCAGCATGACTTAGTGAAGGATGCCTGTTGTGGAATATTAGTTTAAGATGCATTACATTTGTTTATGCTGTGGAATATTTGTTTAATGATGCAAAGATGTGTTGCATTCTTTTATGTTGCATTTGTTTAACTCTGTAAAGCTGTGTTACTTTGCCTGTCTAAGATACCTGATTGGCCTAATAAAGAGCTGAATAGCCAACAACGAGGCAGGAGAGAGAAATAGGCAGGGCTGGAGGGCAGAGAGAATAAAAAAGAGAGAGGTGCAAGAAAGGAGGAGGAGAGGAGGAAGCCAGGGGCCAGCCACCCCGCCACCCAGCCACCCAGCCACACAGCACACAGCCACCCAGCCACCCAGCCACCCAGCCACACAGCCACACAGCACACAGCCACACAGCTACCCAGCCATATAATCAGTCACGGAGTAAGAAGGAAAGAAAGGTACATAGAATAGAGAAAGGTAAAAGCCCAGAAGCAAAAGGTAGATTGGATAATTTAAGAAAAGTTGGCTAGAAATAAACCAAGCAGCTGGGTGGTGGTGGTGCATACTTTTAATCCCAGTACCTGGGAGGCAGAGGCAGGCAGATCTCTGTGAGCTCAAAGCCAGTCTGGTCTGCAGAGCAAGTTCCAGGACAGGCTCCAAAGCTACACAGAGAAACCCTGTCTAGAAAAACAAAAGAACAAACAAGCATACACCCCCCAAAAAAAAATAAAAGAAAGAAAGAAAAGAAATGAGCCAAGTCCAGGCATTCATAAGTAAGAATAAGCCTATAAGTCTTTGTGTATTTATTTGGGAGTTGAGTGATGGTTCCCCCAAAGAGTAAAAGAGTTATAAAACAAAACAAAACAAAAACCCAAAACCAAACAAACAGCCAGGCAGTGGTGGTGCACACCTTTAATCCCAGCACTCAGTAGGCACAGGCAGGTGGAACTCTGTGAGTTCGAGGCCAGCCTGGTCTACAAAGATACACAGAGAAATCCTGTCTTGTAATCCCCCCAAAAGAAAGAAAGAAAGAAAGAAAGAAAGAAAGAAAGAAAGAAAGAAAGAAAGAAAAAAACAGATGCCTTTCCTGACTGATTTCTAGAAGGTTCAACTGAGCATGTATGTGAATATAGTTATTTCCAAGGGTTTAGTAACCAGCTTTCTACTAGGCTAGTCTCTAGATCCTAATTCCTGGTCTTTTCTTTGGGGGGGGGCAGGGTCTCACTATGTAGTTCTGGCTGTCCTGGAACTAACTATGTAGACCAAGCTGGCCTTGAACTCACAGAGATCTGCCTGCCTCGCTTCCCAAATACTAGGTGGGACTAAAGGAGTGCACCATCACATCTGCTCTAACTCCTGGTTTTGCAGACCCAACTAATGTTCCATAGCCCCGGAAGTCCCCCACAGTAATCTTTTTCAAGAACTACTTTTGTATCTCAGAGAGATCAGCAGGAAGGTGAGTACTGGGTTCTGTTCTTAGAGTGAGGATCCACTCTCTTGCTGTTGATTCTCCAAAGGAAGGAAGAAGAGAGCACCTCTGTGCTACAACGCTGGGGTCAGACGTGCTATCTGAGAGAGCTATCATAAGCTAATTCATACCTGGTGCCCACAGGCTTCAAGCGGGTTATGGTGGCAGGAGGGGTATAAAGTACCTGTCCTTTCTTTCTTTTTTTTTTTTTTTTGTACCTGTCCTTTCAAACTGGCTAGAGAATGTGAGGATGACAGTTGAATCAGCTGATCTGGTCAATTAACACCTACAAGAGTCTTCCAATCCAAGCCCACCCTGCTTCATTTAAATAGCAATGATTTGGTTAAAGCTATAAAAGGCATTTTTGGATAGGTCATTAGAAGATGAAATCAGGGATGATCTTTGGCTAAGCATCACATCACAAGGCTGACACTTAAGCTGCTGACAGAAGGTTTTTAAAATTCTCATTTAAGAGAACTATAAAATCGGGGGCTAGAGAGATGACTCAGTAATTAAGAGCACTTGCTGCTCTTCCAGGGGACCTTGGTTTGATTCGTAGTACTGCATAGTGGTTCATAAACTATAACTCAAGTTCCAGGGGGATCTGACACCCTCTTTTGGCTTCCATAGGGACTAGGCTGACATAGGCTCTCTCTCTCTCTCTCTCTCTCTCTCTCTCTCTCTCTCTCTCTCTCTCTCTCTCTCTCTCTCACACACACACACACACACACACACAGAGGCAAAACACATATATATATATATATATGTGTGTGTGTGTGTGTGTGTGTGTGTGTGTGTGTGTGTGTGTGTTTTTCAAGACAGGGTTTCTTTGTGTAGCCCTGGCTGCTGTCCTAGAACTTGCTCTGTAGACCAGGCTGGCCTTTTGTTTTGTTTTGATTTTTTTTCGAGACAGGGTTTCTCTGTATTGTTTTGGAGGCTGTCCTGGAACTCGCTTGGTAGACCAGTCTTGGTCTCAAACTCACAGAGATCCACCTGCCTCTGCCTACTGAGTGCTGGGTTTAAAGGCGTGCGCCACCACCGTCCAGCCAGGCTGGCCTTAAACTCAGAGATCTGCCTGCCTTTGCCTTCTGAGTGCTAGGTTTAAATGTGTACACTACCACCACCCAACTTGGAAAACTATTTTTAAAGAACTCTATAAAATAAGAAGGGAGGCTATCAAAAGCAAGTAAGCAAGACCAAAACAAATGGCTCTCGAAAAATCGAATCTGGGGCTCAGCGGTTAAGAGAGACATTTCTTACAGAGCTCCTGAGCTTGATCCCCAGAACCCACATGAGAGCTACAGTCAGGTGTAACCAGCTCCAGGAGATCAGAAGCCTCTGGCCTCTTCAGGTATCTACACTCAATGAGAATGCAAACACAATTAAAAATACATAAATAGAATGTCAATTCTAACAAAAATTAATTTCAAAATTTAAAAGAGCAGAGACAGCTTAAATCTAACAAGGAAATGACTAAAGTCCAAATTGCCTACATAGTGGCATATGGAAAGAGAGAGAGAGAGAGAGCTCTCACATGGGGGAGGGAGAGGCATATTTATACATTTATACATTTAATCCCAGTACTTGGGAGGCAGAGGCAGGCAGATCTCTGTGAATTCGAGGCTGGGCTGGACCGACAGCCTCCAAAACAATACAGAGAAACCCTGTCTCGTAAAAACCAAAAAAAAAAAAAAAAAAAAAAAAAAGATGCTGGAAAAAACAAAAACAAGTATGCTCCCACCTAAAGGAGGTGAGGGGACAGTGCTCCCCTCCAGTGAAACACAGACATCAATGCTGACTCCTCTTTTTACAAGGAATATTGGTAACAAGAGGCCCATCAGTGTAACGGCCATCGAGAAAACAAATTTCACACCACGGCCTATGAGGAACTTCCAGAGCGCCACCCAGAGGTTCATAAGGGGGACCCTCACACCCATTTCCAAACATGGGAAGGGCCAGATATTGTTGGCATGGATGAAACTGACTGTGTGTCTCAAACAGAATCAGGACCAGGGACAGATGAAAATCAAGCCTGCCCAAGGGGCACTGAGATACCCAAGTGACCCTGTACCTATTGGTCCTTTCACGGTTTCCGTAGGGCTCCCGGGGAGGGAGTGTTATTATCAGGAGGTCAGGCTCAGGAGAACAGACCCTGGGAACTCAGAATCCCTTCCAGCCCTAACCAGCCCTGGTAAACTTAGCTGTCATTCAGTGTTCCTGGGGCAAAGGTTCTAGGAACCAGATCCGAAAGGAAGCGCAGATCCGAAAGGAATGCTCTTGGCAGAACACTAGGGTGGTTTCGTTGTTGTGTCTGGGAAGACCCTGGTTCAGTCGTGATACGGGGCTGTGAAGCGGAGCTGGACACGGACTTTAAGCAAACTGCTTGACTTCTCAGAGCCTTGCCTTCTCCAGCCACACATCACTGCTTTACAATTGTTGGGAGGGTTAGACGAGATACCATGTTTCACTGATTTTAACATGCGTACTTTTCACGTTTTAGTAGCTCCGAAATCAACAATTTGATATTTAAAATCAAACATTTCAATATTGACAGTATGTACAACACACATGTAATTTAGTTGGTAGTAGTTTTTCTTCTTTCACAATAGCACATTCAGTAAGTCTTGTAAAAAACTCAATGGCAGCAGGCATGGTGGCACACACCTCCAACCTCAGCACTTGTAAGGCAGAACCAGGTGACTCTCTGTGAGTTCAAGGCCAGCCTGGTCTGTATAGTAACTTCCAGGCCAGTCAGACTTACATAGTGAGACCTTGTCTCAAAAAAAAAAAAAAAAAGACAATTTATATTAAAAGGCTGCACCCAAGGAGTTCTCAGTGCAATACTAATTCCACTTTTCTTTTCCTAGAGAACCAACCATCTCACAACCTGTTGAAGGAAAGACAGGTCCTCCAGAACTAATTAGTGATCCCCAGTATGGAAAATTGATGAGAAAGGTCACATCCATCTAATCTTACAAGCATTTCTATTCTGTTCTGCACACATGGGCATGTGTGTGTACGAACACTTAAATGTAATATGTATATGCTTTCTCATCTCATTTTTCCTATGGTCATGTAAACATTCTGTAATGTTCCAACTGTGCTCACTCAGTATGTTTTGGTACAAACTGAAACTCATTTTTTGAATACAAGCCTAAGTGTGTTATCTGGGTTTATTTTGGGAAACAGGCTCTGCCTGCCATCACCAACACTCTACCCCCATTTTTGCGACCAATCGCGTACCACAGAATGTCTTTGTCGGGTTTAATATCCTTCAGGTCTGACTTTTCTCTCCTGTGCTCAATTCATGATGCTTCACTTTGCCACAGAAGCATATAATAAACTGGATGCTACAAGGATGCATCAGTAGGGGAGATTTTTTTCCCTTGACCTGGCTGGCCCTGAACATAATCATCAGAGAGGCTTTTTGTAGCCAGCCACCTTGTTGTAAGTACAGATTTTTCCCCATGTAAGAACATACCTAATCCCTTTTAAAATGTTATCAAGTGCTGTCTCGCTGTTATTTTATGTTGATGAGTTACCTAGGTTAATTACATATGACTCAGAATCCATTCCTTAATATCTGCTTTACATTATTTAGCTATCTTAAAGTATACATGAACTAATCTTGCAGCAGCATTGGTAATTCATTTGCTAGCTCTTTCTACACAGCAGCATGAAGCTTGGCATCCCTACCAGAGGGTATATAGTGGCCAAATTGAGTTTTGGTTTGGCCTATTAGCTAGTTGGTTAAATCAATGTTCAGTAAGGGCCCAATATATACTCATCACTATGCTGGGTTCTAGGAATTGCTACAGAGATGAAAGTTAGACCTTCAAGGAATTCAGCTTTCACAGCAGAAGTATGGGATAGAAGCCATATCGAGCAGAGGTACTCTTGAGTGACGACACATAACTGATTCATGTGCGGCCTCCGTCGCCTCTTTTGATGCATATACATTGAAGGCCCGTGGCTGAGCTACCTCTGCTAATAATAGGCTGGGACACCTGTCCTCTGCAGGAGCCGTCTGCTCACCAAGAGCCATGCTTACAGACTATTCACACTGGTTCTTTGCATTATTACAGCTCTATGATTTAACTGAACACATTTGAAAAAATGTAGGTGCAGAAAAGAAACCATGTCTTCAACTCTAAGTATGAGATAGGCACTTAGAGTGAGGTACTAAAGGCCTAGCATGGTTAAGCAGTGGTTAAGACAGCACACTGGTCTGCAGAGGACCAGAATTCAGTTCCCAGCACCCAAGTTACATTATTCACAGCCACCTGAAACTCCAGCTCCAGGGGATATGATGCCTCTGGCTGGCCTTCTGGGACACTTTGTACTCATGTGCACATCCCTCCCAACTCTCTCTCTCTCTCTCTCTCTCTCTCTCTCTCTCTCTCTCTCTCTCTCTCTCTCTCTCTCTCTCTCTCTCACACACACACACACACACACACACAATTACAAATAAATGGTGTGCTGTCAGTGGTGTGGGAAAGGCAACTGAAAAACATCATTATATCTGGAAAACCTTGATTGCTTCTCAACAAGAAAGGAAAAAAATCAAGAAAACGTCAATTCTTGGAACTTAGACTAGAATTAAGAATCAGGGTTCTCCCTAAAGACAAAGTTTTGGCCTACATCAAAACCCCAAGGGACGTTTTAAGGTAAAATAAAGGAATAGTTGTATTGTTTTGTATGACTCCAGGTTTAACTAACTTGTGTAACTAAATCACTAACTATTATTTGAATTGGGTTTAGGAGCTTCCACACTTATGAACATAATACATTAAGAACTACGACTAGGGGTGCCTACACAGGCATGCTGGTCTTTTATGGCGGAGAAGGCTCAGGGCCTGTGGGGAGCGTGAGTCCTGTACTGGGTGCTGAGAACCAAAGCAGGAGATTCAAGGAAACCGCTAAAAGGCCAGCAGCTTTTCAGCATGGGTGTCAGAGTCATGTAACTCTACTTTCTAAACTCTGTAAGTCACCCCAGAGGCCAGCAGAACAGGTGTCCTCTTTATTCCGTAGCTGCTATCTGTTCTAAAGCCAGTCACCTAGGCCTCACTGGCTATATTTGAAAGATGAGAATAGTGGTCCCTACCTCGGTGGGCTGTTGGGAAGATTATGTGAGATGACCTCAAAGTAAATGGAAAATGTATGCAAATTCTCCCCAGGCTCCCCGGGAACCAGGGAATAGAGCTGTGGAGGATGCATCTGAAGGTGAAGGGCATTTTCCTCTCATATTCTGAAATCTCCTTCCAAGAGGGTAGGAAGCAGGACATTTAGTGGCGGGACTATGGAGTGTAAAACCTAGGAGCTAGGAACTGTGCTAGCCCCTGAGGCTGGCATGTCAAAAGGGAATCTGTCATAGCCATCCCCAACACAGAGTGGTGCAGCTCACCAGCATTTCCAACCAGCTCATTTAGTTCTTCCAGCAAGCGTAGA